TTTCACTGAAATCGAATTGAAAACAACTAAAAATTCTGGGGGAAATATGTACGAAAGCTTCGGTTGGATAGGGATACAGCTACCTGAAAAATACAAGGAGAACTTCGACGTTTCGAGCGAAGGCGCTTCGATCTGTACTGTTAGTGTTTGTATACATCGTACTTGACCTTTGCTGATAAATATAATCTCCTCAATAATAAGTATTAGTATAATTACATAGGTGATTATTGAAAATTCTCCACGCTGATTGGTTACCGTTGAGGTGATTATTACGCGATAATCACCTAAGCGATTTTCAAAATGGCGGCCGAAGCCTTTTTGTAAATTAAATGACGAAGAAATGTGTATTTTCTTATTTTTTTCCAAATAATCACCTATGAAATTATACTAAAACAATTATTCACCTCAGGCTCGGTGATTATCGGTGAATAAAAACCTCGACTTCGTCTCGGTTTTTATTCACCGATAATCACCTCGCCTTCGGTGAATAATTGTTAATTATATATTTTTATGCTTTAAAATTTATATAACTCTCCTGTCAGAATTTATGGCATACGTAGTGTTAGGTATGACAGTATATAAAAGGTCAAGTACGATGTATACAAACAAGTCGAAGCGCCTTCGCTCGAAACGTCGAAGTTCTCCTTGTATTTTTCAGGTAGTTGTATCCCTATCAATCCGAAGCTTTCGTACATATTTCCTCCAGAATTTCTAGTTGTTTTCAATCGATTTCAGTGTAAACTGACTGAAGTATCAAATTTTCGACGAGAAATTCAAAATACTTTGTTTATATAGAACTCACAGTTGGAAATCCAACGTACTATCTGCCGTTGGCCAATCACAGGCCTGAATCAATTCGATTTCTCCAGAGCTATGCCCACCCTTAACCTGCGAACGGGCATGGTGGGGAACGAGATTGCGTAATAATATGAAACTTGAAAATCGTGTTGCTCATTGTTTACCTCAAATCTGAATTCACATATCTCAAGAGGAGGCGGAAGTGACATATCCAAGAGTACGCATTTTGACGTATGGCATATAGTAAAAATGCTATTGTGAAACTTGTAAATTTTAAGATTTTGTCGCAATTTACAAAACAAACTGCAGGGTGAACCCGCAAGAACGTTTTAGATTTGGATTCAGCGTCAGTTAATCTATAAGAATACGTATTTTTTTCAGTTTAGCGAAGTGTGCAACGAAAATCGTTTTCTAGCCATCTTTTGGGGGCACTTGAGTCTTGACGTCTGACGACGGCCCATTATTATTAAAATCAATCTTTGCACGCTGTGATGCATATATTTAATCCTTTCAAAGAAACCTGTCCGTCATCTTCTAAGGTAATAAATTTCTTGATAAACACAGGGTCCTCATCGTCAAGATCCAGATGTGTTGAAGCTTTGTACCATTGCTTGAATTCTGCAAATGATTTAAATCGAAATAGGTAGGGTGGTTCGTCTACCACAACATCGTTGAAGAAACCAATCTCTTGAAACAAATCTCGACAGCCCTGTTGGGTTAATGGATAATATCCTGCAGTTCTAACATCATCCGGCATCTTTGCGGCACAGAAGATGGCCAGTTTCCCCCCAGATTTCAAGCATTGATGTGCTTTCTGTAGATAAATGCTTTTCTCGTCATTAGGGATCCAGTGGAATGCATTCGTGCTGATATGGACATCGTAATATGGCTCATTATCGTATAGAAATCCAATCGCACTGCTACCGACATAGAACTGAAGATTACTGATTCCTTTATATTTCTCTTTAGCAATTTTGATTCGCTCAGCATCGGGATCAACTCCGACTACCTGACCATCAGGGCCAACGATATTAGCAATATATTTAGTGACATGGCCTGTACCGCAACCCATATCAAGCACCTTATCTCCCAGGGAAAGGTTTAGTTCATGGACAAATTGACTACCTTCTTCGATTTGTGGTCCACTGAGTTCATCGTAGGCTTTAGCATCTGCCTCCATCTTCGCAAGGACTTCCTATTAGACTTCGCCAATTGTTATTTGTAAATCACAAGATGACGGCACTTTTGATAACAACACTTGAATTCCGGGGTGTAGGAATCATAAAAACTCAAAAGGGGGGTGGCACCAGTTTCGATGAGCACTTTTGGAATGAAAAGGGCACCTAAAAATATTCCCCCGGAAATGTTGGCGGCGGGAATGGCGGGGGACGGGGAGGGAAGGAAAAATAAATGTAATCATAAAACATGCAATCTAAACAACATTTTTCATGAAGGCAAAGGGCAGACTATTGATTTAAATCCCTCCCTATACAAGGGTGTCCAAAAAAACCCGAAAACTATCAATGTATTTGAATGCCCTTAACTAATATCTTTGTAAAGCGCACGATTTCTGCTCTTGGGAATTTAAAGCAGCTTCGTAAATTCCAAAAGAGAATATGGTTCAACGTACTCACCTAAAAGAGAATGTGGTTGAACTCACCATAGAAGAATGCACGAGTTTCATTGTTTTAACGTTGAACATAAATCTCTCTTACAAACATTCGTTTAAACAGTGTCTTATGCATAAAATTTACTAACGTCAAGCTTGTATAAAATCGCTGATTGTATTATCATTAGTTAATATTATTAATATTCTATTAAGCGCTCACCAGACTAGTCCCAAGTCCTCTGTGCACGCTTTTGATTTCCGTGACGTCACCGAGCGAAAAGGCGTACTAAGAGACCTAGGGACTAGGCTGAGCGTTCACTGGCTCAAAGGAGAACTGGAAACGAGTGATGTTTTTGGTGTGTTCAGAGAGCTTTTATGATATTATTTAGTTCCAAATAAAGCAGTATAAAAATAACTCCAAAATGTGATTGATTCAAGGGAGATTCAATGTGACAACGGACAGGAATTTACCATACGCAGCACATTCAACTAAGTATTTGGCTTTTTCCAGTGAACGAAACGTAACAGCAAATAAAGAGCAGTTTCATCCATTTTGTCGTTGTAATTTACCATTACAGCATGTTCAACTTAGCAATTTCCAATGAACATGAACGTGCAGCAGAGTTTCGACAGTTTCATTAGCTCTTTTTGTTTTAACAGTTAACAAATAACATCACCATCGTGTTATATACTATATATTTGACAGTTCCAGAGAAACATTGTGAAGACTGAAGAGTAGTTTCATTTTCTCTGGTTTTAAAATTAACATCAGCACCTTGTTCAACGAAATTTCCCAAAATGTTTGGTGAACCATTATCAACAGCATAGTGAAGAGCAGTACCATTTTCCATGTTTTCATAATTTATATTGGCCGCGCCATGCTGTAAAAGATATTTGACCATTTCTACAGCCTCGTACCCAGACGCAAATAACGTACTAAAAATAGGCACACTACAGTGTTTTTACATAGATCAGTGGCTAAGATGAGCGGTGCTTGGGGAGGCTTAAACAGCAGACTCGCTCTGCTCAGCAGAACGAAGAGGATCCCGCCATTGCTTTTACAATTTACTTTCGCTCCATGTTCCATTAAATATTTGACAATTTCTAGAGAACCAGTATAGCAACAGCACTGAAAAGAGCAGTGGCACTGCCCACGTTTTCCAATCTCGTTCCCAGAGTATGCCTGTTCGCGGGTTAGGTTGTGCCGCGAACAGGCATACTCTGGGAACGAGATTGCACGTTTTCCAACTTACATCGATCACCACCACCTTCACCTTTCATAGGTGATTCCCGAAGACATGATCATCGATATTATCATGTATATATTGTATAGAAGTTTAATCTGAATCTCTATACCAGCCGGCTGCCGACAACCTAGTCAGTGACGCAACGCTCATTGGTTAGGATTAGTTCAAAAACCTGGCCCATTAGCCACGGCCCATCGGCCAGAAAATAAGAAAATGTAAAAACTGCAGGCCGAAGAATCAATGAGAAAATGCAAAATTAATAATGCTAAATAATAAAGCCTCCATCGACGACGGTAGCCGATTTTTTTATTCCATCTCAAATAAAACAAAAGTACGTTATTCTTAATAAAAGTTGTTACATGTGTTGGAGACTGTTATTGTCATTGTTATAGAAACAGAATTTTCCAGAACATTCTATAAATATTCATGATAATATCTCAGTCAAACAATGACAACAGTCAACAGGGGCCCCAACACCAAATATGCCTAAGGGCCCTCTCTCCCTCCGTAAAAATGGCCAAGTGGGCAAAAAATCTGCACAATCGCAAATTTACCTTGTGCATTCAACATGAAGTAACTTATCACAAGGCAGCGCTGATATATCGCAGGCGCGGCAATTGATTGCTTTGAAAAAGCAAAACACAGTTCCTGTCCAAATGTTCTTTATTTATCAATGAATATTCTGCAGCAAAATATTGTAGCAAATGTAAATTTTGACAGAATAGAGCAAGTAGCTTGTTGGTAAGTCTCTGTTTTTCAACATGTTCTTTTTAAAGCGTATATTTTGAGTGTAATGTTGTGCAGGAAATCCATTGGCTTTGCGAATTTATATTATAGGGCGTAAATATTTTTATATTTGAGTCGCTTCAATCATGAAAAGAAGCGCTGACTGTGTTGGTTTAGTTGATTTGTTTATTAATTGTGTATTATATTGTATGTTAGCTAAGTTATTATGTTTAGTAATTACATTTCCAGATGATAACTTGGGCTGCATTCAATTGCATAAATTAAAGTAAAAGCGAATTAAAGTCACAAAGGTTTGTTATTAATATAGCAGGCCTTCAAATATCTTTTACAGGGCTCTGATCATCATGAGTTTGGATTGGTCGTATGTATGATGATGTCCGATGACCTTCAGTTCAGCTTGGCTCGGAAATAAGCCTGAATGACACAAATTAATATCAGCACAATGTATTAATTCTGAACTAAATGTTTTGAAGAAATTAAATAATTTGTGTCATTCATAACCTATTTCCAAGCCAAAATTAACTTGCTTGCCAATAACAGCAGTAAGACTCTGACAACTTTTAAAAGCCTGTTTTCCACTTCATCATTTTGCTCGCTGCCCCATGCTCGATTTCATTAAAATAGCATTTCCGATTCACTTTTTATACATTACTCTGATTCTCCATTTAACATACAAGCCTGGACTAAGGTATGGTACATTTTGATTTACGTCGGACAACGCTACAGTTTGGTCGAACACCAATACACTCGGGTCGGACAAATAATAAATTTTACTTGGGTCACTTGGTTTCCTCTAGCTATGCCAGGCAATTTCACAAATGGGTTGGACAATGTTTCAGGCCTTAAAATATCTGTCGGTCACGGACATTGTCCGACCCATTCGTGAAATTGTCCGACGTAGAGAGGAAACCGCCGGACATTCTGTCCGACCTAAGTGAAACTGAGGTTTGTTGTTTGTCCGACCTAAGTGAATTTGTGTCCGACCGAACTGTAGCTTTGTCCATCGTAAATCAAAATCTACCCTAGCCCAGGACTAGAGGCTTGCATGTTAAATCAGAGTACTATTGTATAAAAGGTGAACTGGAAATGTTGTTTAACGTAGTCGAGCGCAGGGCGGCGAGCGAAATGGTGAAGTGGAAAACGGGCTTAAGTTGTCGAAGTCTTTTTTAATACTGCTGTTCTGGCAAGCAAGTTAATTTTGGCTTGGAAATAAGTATGAAAGAAACAAATTATTTAATATCTTCACAACACTTACCGTTCAGAATTAATACATTGTGCTGAATAAGATATTCATTTGTGTCATTCAGACTTATTTCCAAGTCAAAACTGAACTGAAGGTCATCGGACATATGTCCGACCCAAACTCAACGTCATCGGACATTTTGTCAGACGGCGCTGTAAAAGATATTTTAAGGCCTGTGTTTATGACCAACCAATATTTTATAGAATTATGGAATAAAGAATGCTGCAGTAGGTGAGATATTACCTCTTGCTGGTGTTTTTAATACACCAACTCACCAACTTTGTGCGATCTTTCACAAAGAAGTTGTGATTTTTCAACATGGCGGCTGGTAGCTGCTAAAAAAGCCCACAAATAAGGCAAACAGACAAACAAAGCACATAAGCTAATGAAGAATAGTATATAGACTGAATAGTATTCCGACTAGTCTGGAAAGTTTGCATTGTGCAACCGAGATATCGGGCGCGCAATTTTGATGCTTTCTATATGTTTACTATTAAATTTTTGAAATCTTGGACCTGTGCGTAATTTCCAAATTTTCTAGTGCTGATCAATGGCTGTCCTAAAAAATAAACAGTTTCCATTTCTTGACAGATTAATTTAACGGCGTGCTGTTTGTCAAGTTTAGGTTACACATGCAATTTTTTCTCGCCCAGGCAATGCAACATGTCAAATGTCATTGCACTGCTGGCACAATAGAAGAAATCTACCCTGGTTGCCACTTGCCAGAGGTTCTCATATCTTCCGCCCTATTCTCACTCGTATTTATTTCATGCGAGGCGAAGAGAACCTCTGGTGACACGCGATATAAATATCACTTCGTTTGGTACAAAATTTTTACCAAGCATATGCTTGGTTAGTTATAATTAGCAGTCACATCAAGTGATGTGATTGGCTAAACAAAAAAACCTGTTTATAAATCTCAGAGAACATGATGTAAACAAAATACAGAAAATATGAACATATTGAAATGCTTTAATACTTTATAGTGTGGGTAATATTTGAGATTAAATTAACTTAGTTTCAGGGGCGGATTAATGCTCATCTGACAGGAGGGGTGCAGATTTCCCTGGGGGAGGGGGGGGGGTGCATTGGTGCGCTACCAAATGGGCTGACCGGGCTGTTGTATATATTTTTAGGTATATCACCATAACCCCTGTTTTGTGACCCCTGTTTTGTGACCCCTGGCCATGTGATCAATAGATCAAGTATTTAAGTCTCTGAACTGGATGGACATAAAATGCCCAAATGCCCTGCTAGTACTTTAGTAACTTGCTAAATTATTTAGTGCGCACAGTATATGTGCAAAGTATCATTATTTAATAATTATTAATGAATAGTAGTATAAAGTTATAAAATATAGTTGTATAGCTTACTCAGTATAGCTTCCTTAGAATAATTCAAATTCGTGAAAGTCGCATAGTAACAAACTAACAAAGTTTTTAATAAATAAATTAAATAATTAATAGTTTTTTTCAAGTTCTCAATTTAGTAATAAGTACATTATACATTTTATACAGCTAGATAGTTAGTCAGTTAATTACTTAGACTTTAGACCACCTATATTGCGCATGTTTCCCCATGCTGTTACAACTTCGTTCAAATCCAGCAAATCAACAACATCTCTGTTTAACGAATGCATAAAAGATCACTTAATCTTTCTGGAAGAAGGGTGGATCGCAGCTTCGTGCAAATACGATTCATGCCGGAAAATGCTCTTTCCACTGAAGTGGTTGATGTCGAGATGGTGTTCTTAACTGCAATTAAAGTGGTCAAGTTTGGAAGCCTCTTTGGATTTATTGGTAGATCAAGACGGTAATCAACTTCAGCTCTTTCGATTTCTAGTTCGAGGATAGATCTGTTGGTGTTGAGACAGCTGAAGGTATTCTGAACCTGCATTAAGAGCATTGATAGCTCCAAGGATGTCTATGTTCTTAGAGTCAAATCTGACGTTAAACTCATCCTTGAGTTTCTTCTTCAGCGCTGCGTTGAGTTATCCAATAAATTATTTTACCTGATGACCCTGATCATCGGTAGTCGTAACTGTTGTACTACTGTACCTCTAACCTCTAGTGTTGTGGGTAGGCATTGTGTCGCAGAGAGTTTCCAGTCTTTCTTGAAATTTCTTTCGACTCAATGAATATGTCCTCGTCTTTGATCTTGTTAATTGAATTCCGAGTTCGAGTCAGCTCGTATTAAATGTCCGTCCAATCAAGTTCTTCGGCCTGAATTAACGAAGTCCTTTATTAAGGAAGTATACTGTAGCTTGCCGAGAATGGCGAGATAGTTAAGTGTCGTCAGACCGACGATGAATTTTCCTGACATCCGTTTGTGGTACAGTCCAGCTGCTGTTTCTGCCTGTGATTTCTTATACCCATACTCATCATCTTTCGAATCTTCATCACTTCCACCGGGGTCGTTTGCCACGTCTATCAGGGTCGTGAGGACAGCGTAACACCAAATCTTTCAGATATAACATCAATGGCTTCGTTTTTGCATCCCCAACGAACATCGGTTTGCTGCGTAATATGTTTAACTTGTTTGCTAGGGATACATTTCTCTGTGGAGTGATTCGTCCTTTTGTCTGATCTTCGGTTTATTGAGCAGTGTATGGCAGGATTTTACTGTGGTCATAACATCCGTTGATGACAAAGTTAGACTTGCGCTCGTAGCTTAGACTTGCAGTATTATTCTTAGCCTTTTCACTGAAATTTTAGGCTCAGTATTCTACCTTGTTTTTCACAGTTTAGTTTAGTTTACTGTAGTCGTTGCTTTTTATCTGGTCTTTTTACTAAAATTGAATATGCGTTTGGATATTTAATCTTTAGACGTTTTTACGTAGTATATTAGTTTTATAAATACTTAGTAGAATAGGTCTATTAACTGTGATAGAATATATATGTATAATAATTGCATTTGTTGAAGTTATCAGTAAGTTGTACTCTTACTGCCAAATGTATAAGTTTGTTTATGCCTGGTTCACACTGGTCGTAAGAATCGGGGATTTCCATTAATGTTTGTGGTCATTGGTGTGAAAAATGCTTTGTCTGTCGGAAAAGAATACAATAGATCGCCGATGAATTACGACCAGTGTGAACCAGGCTTTAAATAAAGCTTATAATAATAATAACCTACAGTACGCACGCCATTTTAGGATTTTTCTGGGGGGGGGGGTGCTAGAAAATTTGTGGGGAGGGGTACGCCACCCCCCCCCCCCCTGCACCCCCAGAAAATCCGCCCCTGCTTAGTTTGTTTCGCTACGAACCTCTGAGATATGAACTCACTACTTAAAAAGATTTTCTGCGCTCGAGAAGAGCTACCATCACAGCATGACTTGAGTTGACGGGATGACATGTTCACTCTTAATATTTGTAAAATATAAAGTCTTGCTTAATTAATATCATAATATGATCGTTCAAGGTTTTAAATTTTGGTAATTCTTTGACTTTAATAGTTATTAATACGATTTATTTTTCCAATATTTTCCCGTTGTCCTTTAAGGACAACCATATCCTCCATTGCACATATATTATAGATACTGTATATTTATCAATTATTGGACGAGGTTGAGAAAAATATCGTGATTTGTCGGTGGCGAGCAGATCAATATTTGCCGATGCCGAAGGCAGAGGCAAATAATTGATCTGCGAGCCACCGACAAATCACGATATTTTGCGAGAAACGAGTTCAATAATTGTTTTATCATTCACTTCATTTTATCTTTCGTTCAATATAAATTCGCCGTCTCTCTTTCTTGCTTCTGCATTAAACTTGCGAAGGACGTTGGCAAGAGTTTCTTTTGTAGTTTTAAGCCAACTAAATCGTTTTTGTTGATTTAGTCTTGCTTCTAAATGCTGGCGAAAGACATTGACGGCGGTTTTAGTTGCTTTTTTTATTTTTAAATAAGCAAGACAACTCATTTTCCGAAAGTTCAGCAAAGCGAGCCGCCATTGTTTACAAAAATTGAAGGCAATGCGCATGCTCAGACTATTATTTGTAGCTGAGCAACGTTTTTAACAAATGCGCATGCTCAGACTATTATTTGCACGCAGTTATTTGCAGGTAAATTAACCAATCAAAATTGAGAACACTATAAAGTGAATGATAATAAATATTATTCTTTCACTTTTGACTTTTGGATTTATACATTCGCTAGTAAGACAAACAGCATTCCACACATTTAACAATTGAGGTTGCTTTTGCTGTGTACAGGTAACTCTACAATAGCTGTACGTTGCGAGAATAATGAACATGTTTCTAAGGAGTTGTTTCCGGTAGACTGCTTATTTTTAATATTTTACACAACTCACAAGGCTGCCGAACATGGCAAACAGTCAAAGAGAGCTATTTTGGTAGTATGACAACCCGAAAGTTTAAATACGTCACAAAATATAAACCGGTTTTGCAAGTTCTCAAATGGCAACTCAGCATGGAAGTGAGATTCGCATTGCGTGCCAACATACGGTCATGGCACAAGAACCTCTGGAACCAGGGTAGAAGAAATCACACATGTATCAGCAATTGATTGTATTCAGGCATGCAGCCAATGAAAATTGCTTTATGTACTGTACTTTACAAGTAGATTAGCCACCCCAAATATATTTTTTACTAATAGAAGATACTGTTGTATATCCTCGATTTTACACACTACTGTTGATACATGGCGAAGTCAGTTGATTGCTGAAATGTTGCAAATTCATACACTGTTAAACACATTTCAGAATCCTTATTAGGCAGTCTATGATTTGCTAACATATAGATTTAATAGATCTTTCATCATTTCATACTGTAGATCTTTCATAATAGATCTTAGAATTATCAAACCACTCTTCACAGTGATCAAATTTTTATTGATAATACTTGTGTCTAAAATTAAGAGCGCTAATTTGTTTTTGGTGTCTTTTGTTTGAATATTGCAGATTGTTTGTGAATTTGTTGTTTCATTCTCAACTAATTTTGTCGCTCTTCGTCTTCTGTTTGTTTATTTGTCTGTCAATTCTTTAACGTTTGTCTTAGTCTTACTTTTCAATGTTTATTTTACATTTTAAGTGCTCTGTGTGCTAATTCCAGCCATCCAATATAATTTGAGTTTAATTTATGTCATGAACTGTATTAATACGTATCATATGTCATATCATATGACAAAAAATAAAATAATAAGTCTGTTGTAGTTAACTCATATACGTTTCCACCATTCACTGGTAACTGGTGACAATCTGTATAAAGCCCAATGATAAATCAAGTTTCTTACTTTAGATTTGAAATATTGATACTGTGTAAGCAATGGAAGGTGAGCAAGGTGCAACAGGGGGCAAAGCATCGCCAACTTCAGAAAGTCCGCCAAGCACGCCTGTAAATGGAGTTAGTGATCAGGATTCTCCAGATGCTAAGGTCTGTTGCAATGTCTTCTTGTCAACTATGTAGGTGATTATTAATATATGAAAAAGGGATGGACAAGCCAGGGAATAACATGCCCAGGGCTCCAAACATGTTATGTGAATAGCACAGCGCAGTATGAAATCTGTTGAAATGAAGGTTTTCAGTCACTCACACAGAGCCTGAAATAACGGTCGACCGAACATCGGACATTTTCCTACCAAATTACAGTTTTTTCCGACCAAATGCTAAATTGGTCGGACATTTTGTCCGGATAAAGCCAGACTTGTTGAAAGACTGGTTTAACCATAAGCAAAGAACACAAAATTGTTTAATGTAAAAGCATTTTAACTGTGTAGTGTTTACTGTAAAGTATCAATTCTCTATTCATTGGCTTATTTTTATTGGCTTAATTTACCCAACAAAGGCATGGAGTCAGAAACGAAGTAGAAAAAATGTCCGACCAAATTTGAAAGTTTCCGATCTTTTTTTCTGGACAGTTTTTGAACATGATTTCAGGCTCTGCTCACACACCTTGTATTACGTTTAGTTTTCTTAAAAGTGACAGTTATATCATTTTACAATATACCCGTAGGTGCCAAGACCTGTGAGTATGGGGCTCGTGCATTTGAATGTTGCCTCACACATATCTCATGCGGAGAATAGACTTGCATTTTTAACTTCTTATTAACCGAACGCGAGGTCTGTACAGAGAAAAATCGGACCGAGGTCTTTTTTGTACAGACCGAGCCCGTAGGGCGAGGTTTGTACAAAAAGACCGAGCTCCGATATTTCTCTGTCCATACTGAGCAAGCGAGGTTAATAAAACGTTTATTATATGGCATTTATAGGTATTTATACTTGAAACAAACAAGAAATGCATTCATGATTTGAAATACATATATATATATATATATATATATATACCGGGTGTCCCAAAAAAAAGTACTCCGGTTTGATTTATAATAACTTCTAAACAAGTAAAGCTATCAAACAGAAATAACTTGCATTAAATAGAGGAAGGACTAACTTAGATTTTGATATATTACAGTAGTATTTTACTTACAAATTTACGGAGATATTAATGTTCAAAATCGGGAGCATATTTTGGGATGTGTCTAAAATTAGCGAAAATCGGCGTATCAAATTTTAACTCCAGCGTTTGTTTGTTTAATGACATATCAGGGTAAATTGTATTTCAGCGAATTGTCGTTAGGGTTTGTAAGGGATATGGCGTAGATTTAGACATCTTACATGTAAGTCTTAACTCACTGTTTCCTGAAATATGAACGTTCGAAATTATGTAAGTATTTAATAGGTCTTTGCAAACTTAAGGTGCTGAAAGACCATGCAAGGCAGGCGCTTCAATTTTTCTTAAATAACCTATTTTTTTATGTTTTTCATGGGTTCAAAACAAAGTTGATTATTTCTCGGTTAGAGCAGGATTAATATTGTTCTTTAATGGAGGAAATAATATTGCTTTTTGCAAATACACATCACAGTATCAAAGCTACTATTTTGTTACGTTTTGTTCCAAAAATGTTGGATGTCTCTGGGGAGTTGCATGCTTGTTATGTCTTTACTTATGGAGTTGTATGGTTTGATTGTGTTTCATTCTCAGTTTATTCTGAACTTGCCAAGATTAAGAAAGGCAACAGAGTTTGGGTGTTCTTAACAAGATTTCAGAACGTTGCAGAAGTTAGAAAATTTATTCAATGTGAAGTTAGAAAATTAACAATTCCAATGTGACAGCGTGCCCTAATTCAAAACTACGAACGATCCATGACGATCCTTCGCAATGCAGTGGTCTCATGAAATAAGGAAACGTATTCGTGCTAGGAACACACGCGGATTTCGGACGAATAAATCTTGCTTGTATTTTGTAGATAATAATACTTTGTTTCATAATAAACAATTTGTCAAGTGTCATTTATTTACAGGTAATAGTGCATGTTTCAGTTGGGTAAATCTTGATTAATATTTGATACGCTGTTTTTGGCATATTTCAGACACATCAAGAAATATGCTCCCGATTTTAAACATTAATATCTCCGTGAATTTTTAAGTGAAATACAACTGTAATATATCAAAATCTAAGTTAGTCCTTCCTCTATTTGATGCAAGTTATTTCTCTTTAAAAGCTTTACTTGTTTAGAAGTTATTTCGAATCAAACCGGAGTACTTTTTTTTGGGACACCCGGTATAAACATTAAAAATATTTAAAGGTAAAAAATTGTTCAGATCTTAAAGTTCTGCATTTGGTTGTGTTCTTAAATAAAGTAAATAGTATTGTCTTGCCCATTTCGTAGCTATACCTGCATTCGCTCATCTTATGTTTTGGGAGCATAAAATGCAGGGGATGATCCGATCCTTCTTCATTTCAGTCATATATTTTTTACATAACAGTTCGTGTCTGCTCTCCAATGTTGGTATCTGTGCCATCATCATCGCCTCATTATAATTGTCTATGGAAGGGAAGATGATTCGAAGTGCCCTTGTCTGTATTGATTCTATCCTTTCACTTAAGTAGTCAGGGATTGCTTGCCATATTGGAACAGCATATATTCCAATACGGGTCTGATAGTAGTTAGATACACTTTTGTATATTCCTTTGCTCAACACCAGCTCGACGAAGTATGCGGAGGGAATATAGCTTCTTACAAGCTTTTTTGTAGATTTAATCAACATGTTTATTCCACTTGAGATCCTCACTCAATTGAACTCCAAGTAATTTATAATTGGTTACCCTTTCTACTACGTTGCTGCCTATTACAAAAGTCCTCATTATGGAGTTGTTATTATTCATAAAATTAATTACCATCTCCTTGCATTTAAGTGGGTTGAGACTCATGTTATGATTTACTGAGAATTGATGTAATTCATCTACCGTATGGTTCAGATAACTAATTGAGTTTGTGGGAATCATCTCTAGCGCAGCATGTCATCGACAAACTTTGTCCTTAAATGCCAGTCAGATATTAGCTTATTTGTCATAACCGAGAAAAGAATAACACCAAGTTTAGTTCCCTGAGGTATACCAACATTTGGAGATTTCCAGTCTGACAAAGTCCCCCTTATTCTGACAGCTTGTTTTCTACTAGAAAGAAAAGTGTTAATCCAATTATATAAGACACCATGAATATCCAATTCCATCAGCTCCTTCATGAGAATATGGTGGCATCGGTTTTGGGGGCACTTTTGGAATGAAAAGGACACCTAAAAAATTTTTCCTGGAAATGTTGGTGATGAGGGAGTAGGGAAGGAAAAATAAATGCAATCATAAATCAAAGGCTGTTGAGGCCAACTCACGGATGAGATCAAATGAAAGTGACACAAAGAATTAAAGCAGTTTGCAGTTGTTTTTGCAAACAAGCATGTGCAAATTTTGCCATTTGTCGTGATCCAGCCCGATTTCTGGTTCTGAAAGGCCCGATTCTCAGCCAAAGAGTGTGCGCCAAGCAGGCTAATCATTTCATTGTTTAACTTGACCCACACTCAAATAACCACAAAGAGCCACATTTGTGAGTCAAAAATGCAATCTGAACAACATCAGCAAAGGTATCTCGCTGGTTGCTAGTTGCTAATTGTGAGTTGTGAGTTGCTATTAATAATGAGTGATATATATATATATATATATATATATATATATATAAATATTGAGTATTTATCAGTACAAAGGATAAATATTAACAAAACTAGGGATATTCACTAAAATGTTTAGAATGTCCTCTTGAGAGAGCTTGTGTGCAGGCTACCAAGCTGCCAACAAAGTGAACAAACAGCTAAATTTTAAAATTTACTAACTTTTGTAATAATACCGAAATTAGTCACGAGTAAAATATCTGGTAAAAAAAATTGTCACCACGTGCAAATTCAAATATGGCGGAATTCCCAGACAAAACTCAGGTCAGTACCACTTCTATAGTTCTATTTAGCGAAATTTGTGGTAATAATTAATTGTAATGTGGTAAACATGTATGTGTATGTTGAGGTGTTTATTTAGATTGTAAATCGTATTCACCGTTGATTGATGCAATGTATTTACATAATAATATCCCACTTTACATATTGTACGGCAGGTGATTGTACGGTTTAATAGTCGGTTTTATATTGCTTTAAACAAGAGAAAATGAAATGAAATGCATGTTATGCTTCATATTATATTTCATATTTGTAGATCATGAGAATCCGCACGGCCGAAAAAAGGTGTCAACTGCACAAAATTTGTGCAGTTCGCCGGATGCAATTATGTCTAATCCCAATAAAATTAATAGGCAAAGTTGTCATCAATCTGGTTCTGTTCGCAGTGGGTATATGAAAATTAGCATGTGGCGTTTAGTTCAATATTTAGAAATAAGTTACTAGTCTTGTGAAATCCTGTGAAATGCAATACAATTGCTTACACTTGCTTACAGAAGCCTGTACACGTGAGGGTATTCAGCTATATCCCATATAGGTTTTATTTGGTTTGATTCTAAATGAAAATAGCCATGACATGTAGTTGCAACTCGCGCAGAAAGGCTTAATGAGTTATGAATATCTGCATATATACCAATGCCATAGAACTCGTGGCATACCGGTATGTGTTTTCATTATAAAAATTTAGGTTCAACTGATTAAGCAAAGATGACTACATCTTCTTAACCTGTCAGCAAAAGATGACTGCATCTTTCTGAACACAAGAGTCTCCGCTAAATTGGTCTTTATAATATAAACACAAATTTGCGCTAGCTTTGGCGTTTGCAAACTGATTTTAAAACAAAAAGATTTCGTGTACTGTTTCTCTTGATATAGCTATACATTCTATTTGGCTGGCCAGTTCTAGTCAGTAAATTCGCACAGAAATAAGACTTGTTGAATTATAACTATGATAATACAGAATATATAAATAGCTACCATATGTATAGCTGCAACTGCAATTTCATATACATGCAATGATTCATGCATAATAGGATGTGTTATTATATTATAAAGAATTAGGTTCAACTGATTTAGCAAAGATGACTACATCTTCTGAACCTGTCAGCAAAGGATGACTGCATCTTTCTGAACACAAGAGTTTCCACTAAATTGGTCCTTATAATATAAACACAAATTTGCGCTAGCTTTGGCGTTTGCATGCACACCGATTTAAAAGCAAAAATATTTTGTCACTGTATACTAGCTGTTTCACTTTGCGCGGTCGGTCTCTTGATATATATATATATACATTCTGTTTCACTATTTGGCTGGCCGGTTCTAATCAGTACAATTCGCGCAGAAATAAGGTTTGTTAAATTATAACTGTGATAATACAGACCTACTGTATTGTATATAGCCTATTGTTATATAGCTAGCATGAACTCCAAACGTGATTGGCTGATTTGTGGTCCCGTGACTCAGATAAATGCAATGTTTCCCGCCGGGCAACAAGTGAAAAATTGTTGCCCGCCCCGACCGGCCACATACATAAATAAACAAAATGGCGGCACAACTACGATAATTAGAAACTACGATTTTCCAAGTTTGTGTTCAAATAAAGAATGTAAAAGGGAAGAAAAATACAGAACAGGAAACAGGATATGCTGCCAAAACTGTTTAAGTAGGTTCTTTAATTTTAAACTTGTTTACTCTATAGAGTTTTTGCCACAAAAAACAATCGTTGTATATGAATGTTGTTGAAGTTGATTGTTGTTCGTCGCTATATAACAAAACATTTAATGTCTGTTCCCTCGGGAAATAGTTTTGTTTTCCCTCGAATCTCAATTTCAATCTATATTTTTTATAGTAATCCCAGCTGCTGAGGATCTGGTAATATAGGAGTGCACATTAGAAGTTTGAATATAAATAAGTCAGAAATATTTCCTGGTATCAATTTGTTAGTAACGTCATACATTAATTTGGCATTCGGATGGGCAATATCGATGTCTTGTAAAGAGATATTAGTTGCTACAATTCTGGTAAATAGTTTCATACATAAAGATGCGGTGTCTTCAGCAGTTTCGTGTTGCGAAATTTGGGGCACACCCACGATTTTTAGATTATAATTATAACTATACTGTTCAGTAGAGTCAATTTGTGCAGCTAATTTATCGGTTTTAATAATTAGTTTGGTTAATTTTGTGTTCAGACACTTTAGTTCCTTTTCTGTTGAACCTTTGAATGATTTGATGTTGTCATATTCATCACTGAGATACTGCAATCCTTTCGCTTGCTCTTTCAGATCTGCCGCCGATATGGCTGTAGTGGCAGACCATGTTTGTCAATCTTCGCTTTCATTGTCAACATTTCCTTGGCAAATTCATTGTGTTGTTCTTTTAAGGCATCATTAGCTTTTCTCAATGATTTAACAGTATCTGCCGTGTTGCGTTTACAATACAAATCTGTATTTTTTTAACTTTTAGCACCAATTCTAGAAAAAGCATTTTTTTGTTGATTCGTGCAAGAATATTTTTTACAGTAATCCCAGCTGCTGAGGATCTGGTAATATAGGAATGCACATTAGAAGTTTGAATATAAACAAGTCAGAAATATTTTCTGGTATCAATTTGTTAGTAATGTCATTCATTAATTTGGAAACAGATTCAACATAGAGCATACTTATTGGTAAATTATTAGTATTGCTAAAGGATTAGTGTCACACCAGGAATTTGCGGGCTCAAACTCCTGCTGGTGGCCATTTTTCGGGACGAATACATTAGATGATCTGGAAAGTTTTTACAATCTGTCATATATTTAAACCATCCTTTTATAATCCTTGCTCTTTTTGTGTCATTTGTATCAGAAATGTACCAAACAAGGTATTTTTATCACTATTTGTTGTATTTGAGTAAAATGTAAACAATAACAAAAGCCCGCAATGCATGACCCTGACACTAATCCCTTAAACAATGGAACAGCAAAGAACTCGTTTTTGAAGTATGAGATTTTTTAAAATTGTTTTTGTGTAGCGTTTCCCGAAATTGTTAAACCATAAGATAAATAAGGATATATCAAAGAACGATAGATTTTTGTCAGGATTTCAAAAGGCAATAAATGCCGAAGCCTGGCGATCACATCAATTGTTTTGCTTATTTTAGACACCACATAACTAATATGATCTTTCCATGATAAGTTAGCATCAAGTAAAATGCCTAGGTATTTGACATACTCCTTGCGTTCAAGAGATATGTATTTGTTATCTTTTTTTGTCAAATATTTTAATATTTATTTGATAACTTAGCTTTTTTTGAGGAAGGTGGAAAATAACAAAGTTTGATTTTTTTATATTCAGAGTTAATTTATTTGCATTTAACCAGTCATAAACTTTGAGTAATTCTTCATTTACTACACTTTCAAGTGTTTTGGGGTTTTTATCAAAATAAATTAAGTTATTGTCATCAGCAAACAAATGGAAGCTAAATTTATTAGAGGACTGATATATGTCATTGACATAGATTAGAAAAAGTAAGGGTCCACGTACTGATCCTTGTGGTACCCCACATAAGTTTATTTCCTTATTTGAAATATTTGTACCAACTTGTGTACTTTGGACATAATTTATTAAATATGAGGAAAACCAATCTTGGATTATACCTCTAAATCCATAGTAATATAGTTTATGTAACATGATTGAGTGATCAACTGTGTCAAACACTTTTTGAAGATCAATGAAGATACCACAGGTAAAATGTTAATTGTCCATGTTTTCTTGTATTTTATTTACAATATTAAGAATTGCATGTTCTGTAGAATGGTTTTTTTTTCCGAAAACCATATTGTGAATGATAAAGAATATTCTTACTTTGAACAAATGACATGATGCGCTTGTATATTACTTTTTCGAAAATTTTGTTGAAGTTAGGTAGAAGTGAAATTGGTCTGTAGTTACCAGCCTCAGTGTCATCACCTCCTTTAAAAATAGAAATTATTTTAGCATGTTTTAAAATAGACAGAAAAACTTTGAGATGAATTTTAAAAAGTCCTGGGAATAATTACAACTACCTGATTTGAGAAGGTCCACATTGAAATCATCCATGACACAAAATTATTTTCCTGTAGCACTAAATTGTTCAACCTTCTCATTAAAATAAGTAAGAAAGCGATCAGGATTGTTGTGTTGCTGATAAATAATACCACAAATTATATTCTTCTTATTAGAATGAATTATTTCTATCCATAAAGCCTGAAATGCCTCATGAGAGTGTTTTTCTATTATTACATACTCTAGAGTATTGTCAATATACATACCAACACCTCCAAAAGCTAATGGTGTTAGAACATATTCAAATTTATAACCCATTATTTCAACATTAAAATTAAGTTCAGTTGAATTAGTTATTTTAGTCTCAGTAACACCAATAATATTAAAGTGGTAATTCAGTTCACTTGAACTTGTAGATTTTCTAAATTGTGCTTCAAGCTTCTAATATTATTGTGAAATAGCGAAAAGCTAGAATACGTACCTGGAGTACTTTTAAGTTGCTTAAAATTATTCGGTGAATAATATCTAGTTCGAATTTGTTGTTTCCCAAAAATATGATCAGGATTTATATCGCTAAATTGGGCAGAAGTTAAGTTAAACAAGTCTATATCATAGATACTACAGAGTTTATTCAATTCTCTTATATTTTTGTGATTGCAAGATAAAGTGTTGTTATATTCTATATGATTTGAACCATAAAACAGTAATTCCCTTAGGAGCAATTTAGCTTCTTTAGTGTTACCCATCTAAAGTCACAAATAATACTAAAGTCACAAATAAGCAAATATAATTATTTTACTCATCTTGAGAATCCAAACACAGTTTTTCCAAATCGGGCATATTCTGAAGCTTTATTATTCGAGAGGTATCACTGATCCTGAGAAGAATACATGAGGACTTTGACCAACAAAACTTGTAGTTATTCTCAGCTTGGAAACACTTAGCTTGATACAGCAACTGCTGTATTCTTGGCGTCAAATGTTCAAAGATACCAATATATTTTATTTGAGTGCTCAGATCAAGGCCTAAATCAGGTGACGTTATCGACCTTGTTGCTTTCTTTCGCAAAAGAACCTTTTCTCTTGCGAGTCGGCTCGTAAATTTACATATAATGGCATTCGGATGCGCAATATCGATGTCTTGTAAAGAGATATTAGTTGCTACAATTCTGGTAAAGAGTTTCATACATAAAGATGCGGTGTCTTCAGCAGTTTCGTGTTGCGAAATTTGTGGCACACCCATGATTTTTAGATTATAATTATAACTATACTGTTCAATAGAGTCAATTTGTGCAGCTAATTTATCGGTTTTAATACTTAGTTTGGTTAATTTTGTGTTCAGACACTTTAGTTCCTTTTCTGTTGAACCTTTGAATGATTTGATGTTGTCATATTCATCACTGAGATACTGCAATCCTTTCGCTTGCTTTTTCAGATCTGCCAGTGATGGCTGTAATGGCAGACCATGTTTGTCAATCTTCGCTTTCATTGTCAACATTTCCTTGGCAAATTCATTGAGTTGTTCTTTTAAGGCATCATTAGCTTTTCTCAATGATTTAACAGTATCTGCCATGTTGCTTTTACAATACAAATCTGTATTTTTTTAACTTTTTGTGAACACTAATACAAAAAGTCGTAAGGTGTCCGATCAGCATGAACGGCTTTCAGATTTTGACCTCTTAACTTTGAGAGCTTTGGGTGAACAAACTGTTTGGGTGCAGTATTCAGATTCGACAGTGTAGTAATTTGCCCTTGGTAGTGGCTGCAAGGCTTTGAATAATGTGGCATTTACGTCTATCTCCTGGTTTCCAGCTGTTCTGCATCTTTGCCTTCGTTTTTACTTAATACCTTGACAATCTATTTGTCTAAAAGTTTCAAGGGGTTGAGTTTCTCACTCAGCATGTCTTTCAGCTGTTTGAGCACATTTTTGTCCATCTGATGCATTTCACTCACATTCGCAAAACTTTATTTTACCCTTAAGACATACCTAAAACATATTTATTTAGAACTATTCTGTCGTACAAAAAAACAAAATATATAACATAACAATCCTTTTGGTTTACCCTCTTGCATTCAGTTTAACAATTCCAACTTGAAGTATGCTATTCATGACATATGATATACTTCTTACATCATTCGACTAAGATCAACCATTGTTTGTTGCCCTACGGCATTATCAATAGCATACTATTTACACCTGTCTCAACCACACACCTATAAGTTATGGAGAAATGTGGTCGCTTTGAGCAGGAAAGAATGGGGGGGGGGATGGGGCGACACAAATTTATGGTGTACAAAAGATACAGATAGGAATGTTCTATCTCAACCCATATGCATTCCATCACAACTTCGATCATGGTGGCTGTCATTTATTCGAGAATGATTATATTTATAGGTGCACTAGTTGAACCTGCTGTAAATAGTATACTATTCATCATCTAATAGGCAAATCTGTTCTATCATTGCTTTGGGGAACTATCTTGGCAGGGTTGTTTTCAAGTAGGGTATCGATAATATTGATTGTGGTTAAGTCGTCTGAAACAGTGAATGGCAATATGACCGGGTAGACCACAGAAAAAAAGTTGAGAAAAAGGTAGACCACAGAAAAGCAGAGGTTGGGAGGACACAGAGGGACAGGTGGTGTGGGATTCATAGAACTGTTAACTGCTGGTGGTTTGCATGTTTTAAAGGATTTTTATCAACTTTGCAAATAGAGTATAGAACTTTAGTATAATCATTATCAGAGAACAGTACCATAACATACACTTTCAGTCTCTCAATGTGAGAAGAGCCACCTTATGGAAAGATGCCTTTCATGATGCTCCTACTTGGCTTTGTTAGCTAGGGTTTCAGCCATAGAGATAGATAGCAGTATATACTGATCAAAATTCACCAATTTCCTAATTCCAAATAAAGTGAATTATTTTATTCAAGCAGAGATATCCAGTTTCTGCTGGCTCTCCAAACGGCTATTTCTCTTAACCAGCTGAGCAAATGAGACCTGCTATCAAGAAAGATACCCAGTTGATATTTATAAGATAACACCGATGATAACAATATCAAACATTCTAACCAAAACATGGGGAATTCATCAAAGCTTACATTCCCAAAGCCTCCAAATCCATCCATAACATTAAATTTTATCTCATGAATTTATCTCGTACACCACATATTGAAATTATCTCACGGCAAAATAACTCGTATCCCACATGTTGAAATGATATCATGGCAAAATCTCTTCTATGCCACATGTTGACATTTCATGGCAAGTATTTCATATGCTACATGTTGACATTATCTCTTGGCAAAATAGTGCATATGTCACTTATTGAAATGTTCTCATTACAAAATAACCTATACACCACAGGTTGAACTAATCTGATACCAAGATGAATGTTGAAATTATCTCATAGCAAAATATGGTGGCTCATATGCCAAACATTGAAACAAGCTCATGGCAAAGTCTAATATGCCGGAAGTTGAAATTAAATTATCCCAAAACAAACTTACTGCAATTATCGCACAAGACCAAAAGCCTGATTGTGCAATCAAATACTTATTTTCCGCTTAGCTTGAGTGTAACGAAGTGTATGAGAGCATGATGCACATACGCGAGTCAACTAATTAGGTTACAGCAATGACATGGTAGATGAAAATGCACTAAATATGATAGCAATTTATGTAGTAGAATGTACACAGAGCTAAACACGGAGGAGGTAACGTTGCTACCCGCCACAAAAAGTAAACTCAGAACCAAATACAGTTGAAGCTTGTGGGTGTAGTTGCCATGACAAAACGAGCAGCTTGCTCTGCTGCTGCTGCATCGGTACTTTCACAATCGGACATTGTGCTTGCAGTGCTGACTTGATGAAAGTAGTTGTAATTTATTCAAGCCTATTATATTTATAGGTGCGCTAGTTGAGCCCACTCTAAATAGTATGTTACAAATTATTCTACAGACTGTAGCTTTTTACGCGGATTGGTTTGGACATGCTCGTTTCTCAACAGAAGAATGGTTGTTCCACTCGTTTCTTTGAGAATCCCACTTGAAAGAGCTTCGCCTTCATTTGTTCGAAGAACAAGGATATTGGAAAGCGTAGTATTCCATCTTCTCCATGCCAAAAATATGAGAAATCCTGCTCAGATTGGTTTTGATGGATAAGAAAAGGACTTGGAATCCAAGAATTCTTTGAACTCCCTCTTCCAATCACTGACATCTACTTGTAAGTTGTTTGTGTCACAGATAGTTTGCAATGTTGAACGTTGTGTCACAAGTCAATGGTGTGGTCAATCTTGGTTTCCCTGATGTGGTGGAGAAACGTTCTATGTTAGTTAAGCTTTCCTGTAAATACTCTACAAAAAAGCTTGCTTCTTGTGTCTTAGGATAAATTCTCTTCCAAATAGCTGATTTTTGTCCAGCACATCTGGAATTTTTAATCAACAACAAAGGTTGATGTGCTAGAAATACTTGTTTGACTACTGCCATTCGGTCAACAGGAATATCTTGTTTTAAACAGATGTGGAAATCTTGTTTAACAAATAACTTTAAAAGTAAATATTTATTAGCTAACATTTCGTTGTTTACACTACAACATCTTCACAGCAATCGAAATGAACTTACAGGGTGTGGTATATATAATATTAAACCAATATATATATATATAGGGAAAGTTGAGGTGAATAATTTGACCAATCAACCGAAGATTTTCCAAGTCTTGTTTATTATAGATGAGATAAGAAGCTTACAGTTACACTAATCCTGATCTTAGTTTAAAGATAAAGAGCAGAGCCAAGCAAATAACCCTAAAACCAAACATAATAAAAGCAAAAATTTATTAGCTAATGTTTCATTGTTTACAATACAATATCTTCAGAGCAATCTAAATGTATTTACAGGGTATTACAGGTACTCTGCTCTTTATCTTTAAACTAAGATCAGGATTAGTGTAACTGTAAGCTTCTTATCTCATCTATAATAAACAAGACTTGTAAAATCTTCGGTTGATTGGTCAAATTATTCACCTCAACTTCTCTATAATCACCTTCTTCAGCAAATAATTGTATTGATTGAAACATTGGAGACCATAGATAGCCAAAAAAACCGGAAGACCCTAAGAGCTGGAAGAACTATAGTGAGGTTAATTTTGACCTGAAAAGAAAGACTCATTGTTTTTATATAACTTTGTTAAAACAATGATGATTTCTGAAATAAAAGATACAATTAAAGTATGATAGACAATACAATTAAAGTATGATAGACATATCTCCTAGGTTAAGGTTACAGGAGACCCTAGAATTTTAAAATTAAAAAAAAAAAATTATTTAATTTTCTTGTAGCTAGGAAATAGATCTGTCGTCAGAAAAAATTTCAAATTAAAATCTTTCAAATTGAACACGTTATCAAGTAAAACGCTTTCCAAATTCTATGATCACTAAATCATGAATATGCTTTGGCGGGAAAACTAATTAACATAAATTAACATATAATTAGTGATTGACAGCACGTCAAGTTGTACATTTCATTTTATTGTCACAACACGCACTCATCGACACGTTGTTTACATCGAAAATCACTGTTAAAATGCCAAAATCGAAGTCTAAAACTGATAGAAAGAGTACAAATCCTTTTTGCAACAAAAGGTCAAGGCGGAAGAAAAAAAAAAGACTGACGCGTGTGTCTTTAAAGATGAGAGAAAGAGTTATCTCTCCCATACTGACCTCGGCTCATATTTTGAACAAGAGAAGCAATGGCCCGAGCTTTTTTCTGACAAAAATCCTGGAGATGCTGGAAGTTCTTCGCGAAGTGAAGCGAAATTAAATGACAGCATGGAAAGCTTGAAGAGAAGAAAAGCTTCAGAATCGGAGTCAGAATCGGAGTCAGAATCGGAGTCAGAATCGGAGTCAGAATCGGAGTCAGAATCGGAGTCAGAATCACTTACCGACTTAGACAACAGCGAGGATGGTGCATTTAAAGCACCTGTTGGACGTTATATTGTTGAGCCTGGATGTCTACAAGAAATGGTCGACAATTCAGCAGTTTGTAAGTATTGCCATTGCCCAATACACATACGCGAGAAAGCGAACTCAAGGCACGGATTGGGGGCAAAATGGATTTTCATTTGTACAAGCGAGACATGCGTTTCACATGTATTATCACGCGCTTCAGTGCCAATTTCGGAATATTCTGGACAAAAATATACGGTGAACGCTTCTTCTGTTGCTGCTTTCCGAGCAATCGGGAAAGGCAGGGCTGCAGCAGAGAAATGCCTTAGTATGTTGGATATTTCTTCGCCAGTATCCACATGGAGTTCATACACCAAAGAACTAGAAACCAAGTCAAAAGAACTGACCGAGACTAGTATGGAAGACGCCGTATTTGAACTGAAAAAACTTAAACGTTGTATCGGAGAAGTTCCAGATTGCACTGATGATCAGTTGAAATCCAAAATTGTTGATTGTGCCGCTAGTTTTGACGGTTCTTGGAACAGCAGAGGGTGGTCTGCAAGAGACGGAGTTGTGACAGCTATATCTGACGATACGGGAAAGGTTCTTGATGTTATTTTCATGACCAAA